GAATGAAAACACTGATGGATTGAAACACTGATGGATAGATGTATGGACACACGGACGGACGAACGGATAGACTAAAGAATGGAAGGAACGCAAGCATGGACGGACAGAAGAACGGATGGACGCACAGACGGACCGACAGACAGACGGATGAAAGCATGCATGGAAAGACGGACGGACGAACGCAAGCACGGATGGACCGATAGATGGGCAAACACATGGTCGCACGGACGGTTAGATACACGGATGGATGAATGGACGCTTCGCCCCACTTATCACAATTCACTCCGCCAATATGTTGTGCTTTTTCATGAAACACAACATTTTTAGGTTTTAAAATAAATGACTTGTCCCATTCAACCTTGCCCACTGATGGAAACCTTCTATAATCAGATACATAGTTCTCCTAAATTGCGCACTAAGTTTCTTCTGATGTCTCCACTATTAAAATAATCGGATAAATCTTCCTGTTTAGTAAATCATTCCAGACTACCCTCGAAAACAGTTTCTGAAATATCTATCATATTACGGATCTATTTTATAGCGCTGTTACAGGCACACCGGGTGCTATTTTTTTTTTCAGTGAAGTCACAAGGACGCGATGCTATTTATCAGCCTGCGGTGTATGTTGTAAGAACTTTAGATAAATTTTATACTCCAGGAGGCATTGCTCTTACGATGAGTGCCATCTGGGGTTTAGGGGTCGAAACTTTGAGACAGGTTCCACTGCCTGATATATAATCACAAACACTTCATTCTCTAACACGCTACATTAAATTTGTGTAGACGTCTGGTATTTTAAAATAAACACTAGCCTGAAGTTCTGATTAATTGTTCCACTAAGTAATATCTCATGGCAAGTCGTGGGCCATGTTTCCAACACGACATCTCCAGATTAGAGGTGGCTGAGGTACGTTTATTGATCGTTACTCGGAGAAAAAAATTCTACATTTGAAACTCATTACGTCCTCATCTAATTAGCACTTTAGTCTGACAATACTTAATAACTCACAGAAGTTTTTACTGTATTGTAATTCATCACTTGTGAAAAAAGAGGGGTTGGGGGTGGAATCATGTGTTCTTTATTACCAGAGAAATTCTTCACGTTTCGTAGTAATGTGGTTCCTTTGCTTATTTATGTGTATGATTCCGGTTTTAAAACTAACTTACAATACGTTGACCTTGGCTAGTATTGTACATCCTTTTTTTAGATAAATAACACGTATTTCATGGCTACTGCCCGTTAAAAAACAAGTGACGAAATATTGGAGAATGCGCAAGGCTGCACTGGAATCGTTAGACCCCTTATAAATTGGTTTCTAGGAGGAAAGGGTACAATGATCATTTGAAAAGCTTGAGTTTCAGCGTTGTCTTGCGTGTTGTGCAACATTTTTGCTCAAATTTCTTTCACCGATAACATCAAACCAGATTTGCCTATGCTTGTCAACCAATACGTGGCATGCGTTTTGTTTCTGCCTGTAGAGCGTGCTTTGCCGTAATATGACTAAGCATGCGGCACAGCAACTAACACAGGCTAGCAATTTTTGCATCGGAGCACCTAACGTCACAATTGCTCAATTTTGTTGTATCTGTCCGCATCCATCTGCGAGAATAGAAAGGTCGTGTGACTTCCGAATGAGCGACGACGTCATTTGGTGATCTGACTATACGGCGTTATCTTGTCGTCACATATTCCTACAATTTGCGGCGCCATCATGATGGCGCCTTCGATTGACAACGTGGCTCGGTCTGTCTGGACCGATCGGACAGGCAAAGCAAGACCGAATGAGGTGCGCATATTTTCACGGAATGCTGGTCTCTTCAAGATTGGGTTTCAACATGGTCACTCTATGTAAAAAAGGAATAGAAGGTGACTCCCGGAATCACAATAATTTGCCGTTTATTAGCAAAGTTATGATTGATATTTGTTGTGTGTCGTGGCGAGAGTATGAAGCTATATGCACCAAAGTTATATTTTTAACGAGTGTATCGATCAGTCATTTTCTCTAGTCATTTTCTCCTTTATTGACGGACATCTTATCCACCATACGTGGACAAAAGAAGCGGAGGTTAATAATTACATGTCCATAAACAGGGTCACTTTCGGAACTGTTCATCAGTAATGACTTTCTTTAGTTTTGTACGCAATACCTAAAAGTACACTATCATGTACATTTAGTGCAGATCTTAAAGTAGAACCCTAAGAACTTGTCAAACATTAAATTTTGAAAGGTCATTCCTTTTTCTTATATAACGTTCGTGCTTTTTTTCACCCTGCCTTTGTGTTGCTTTGTTTCATAATCTCATCTGTATGTTGTAAAACATTACTGTCAGTGTCATCGACATAAAAGCATTAAAGCTCGAAAATACACTGTCAAATGTAGGTACGAAGGCTCTGATTTCAATTGTAAGACAAAGTGTCTGGACCGTAGTAATTCTGCTGTTTAAATATTTTACATAAGTGCAGTGTATTTTCAATGATTTTGGAGGTTCAACGTGCCAAAACCCCGATGTAATTGCAATGCAGGCCACACTAGAGGGCTTCAAAAATTTCTCCAACCTCGGGTTCTTTAACGGGTATTCACATCAAAGAGTACAAGGTACCCAAGCGCATAGGATTCTCGGGAAACGTAGTGTGAAATGTGAGTAGGCGATATGCCTTGGTAGATACTTTCATGTTGGAGGACCTGTAATATTTAGGTTTTCGTAACTAAAACACAAACAAAACTCTCTTCTCGTGTGTGAAAAAATTAACACGGCCTGTGAGGCCTGACTGCTCAAGAAATATCGTGCAAACGAGGTACAGGCGCAGCCATGTCTGTGTAGAGCACGCGAGCAGCCGGTTTTCACCAGGCGGCGCGAAAGCTTGAGCCACTTGCGGGCTCTGAAGTGCTGTATCAGGAGCATGCGTGGTATAGTTGTCAGGCTGACTGCGTCAGAGCCCTCAAGGTTTTGTGCCACAGAGCAAGAAATGACAGCTCGCGTGCTCTACACATACGTGGCCGCGGCTGTACATGTCCTGCCCCTTAAGCGGGAATGAATTATGAAAAATATTGAGTCATCACGAACATGAACATCATGATGGACCGACATTTAATTGAAGGGGCCATATAATTACAAAAGAATGTGGTGAACTTAGTGTCAGTCTGTACGAGTGGGTTTAACAAACCCAAACGTTTCGCTTCGGGTGCACTCAGCACGTTTTCCTGGGACACCTGGCTTCAGAGTGCAAAAAAAAAATGGCGGTAAGTTCGACTCAACCTCGCATGAAATCTACAGAGCGCGCGCGCAAAAGTCTATGCTGCATATTCCCTCGGGCTTGCATTAATAAGGCGCACGTTCCACTATTTGCTCAAGCCTGAGCGCGTCAAAAAAATTCTGCAGGAAAGTACCAGTTCTGCGAGAAAACTATCTTTTAAAGCGAACGGCAGTGACACTGCTTTTGTGCGCTTTGAGTCTTCACCATAGCTCTGCTTTCGGAACTTTTCGTCTGAAAATTATTATCGCATATCAAGTCAAACCGACATGCGGCAGGACATGCGCAGAAGAAAGTACGCTTTCGCGTCCATAATATATAACTGAAGGAACACGAGCAGCGGCAGCTTTGACACGTGCCATTTTTATGTGTCATCAAATCTGTGGCACTGTCACTGCGCCTCCTATACCAGTGATGGAACCAATTTTTCCCGTTGCAAATGACTGCGGGATTTCGTAATTTATCAACGAAATCGGCACTCTCAACTAATATATATTCAGTAGCTTTAACTCTCTAAGCTATTATAAAATTTTAAGTAACACAGTAACAGGGTGTTGAGGAATAGTTTTCCCTACCTGTAACTCGAGATTCCCTAAAATTAAGCTCCCGAATGTCCTTTCATTTCACTGCCATCTCAATAGGACCACCATAAGCGGCAATCAAACCCGTGTCCTCGAGATTCATAGCACAATACCTTATGATTGATTTGTGGGGTTTAACGTCCCAAAACCACCATTTGATTATGAGAGACGCCGTAGTAGAGGGCTCCGGAAATTTTGACCACCTGGGGTTCTTTAACGTGCACCCAAATCTGAGTACACGGGCCTACAACATTTCCGCCTCCATCGGAAATGCAGCCGCCGCAGCCGGGAATCGAACCAGCGACCAGCACAATACCTTAGCCGCTAAACTTGCATGGCTGGTCGTGCTGGGCGAAAGTTTATCGGCTAATGGTATTGCTGGTAAAAGAGAATTGACGTGGGGAAATTGTCAGGAAAATTGACACATCTAACTTTTTTGGCAGTGTGCGAGTGTGTACAGAACCCAGCGAGCTCACGATAGACAGTTATTTCTGGCCAATTCGTGGATAAAAAGTTAAGCAAGGCCTGTCAAGCTACTGCCGCATGGAAAATGTATACCGTCAACAATGTATAAGACCTACTGTCACCTCGTATAAGTCTGCTGTTGCCAATCAGCTGTACTGGTTGCATAATATGATCAGCACTGCGTTGACCCCGCTGCCAGTTAACTCATTCACTTGAGACGCATGAAAGCACTCTATGAAGCTGTCATTTTTTTGCGTATTTAACTTTGCAAACTATGGGTGCAGAAACAGCGTGTTTAGTCTTCTCTACCTCACCTCCTTCTAACTTCTCAAACGTTAACCCAAGTTTATCCAACTAAAACCGCTGGCGCTCGCACGCCATCGACCTCGCCACATTGTTGTGCGAATATTTCCAAGCTGTACTCGTGGAAGCACTTCTGAAAGTCTGCAGTCACCACGCACATGTGACACGTGAAGTACGCTGGAGCGCGTCGCGTGGCAAGAGGCGTCCCATGAGTCGAAACCACGGAGAAGTGGCTGGAGCCCGAGCCCCGGCCAGTGGCACGGGGTGGCACCGCTAGCTCGATTAGTTCTGCCGGTTCCCACGCTCGCGAAAGGGGCGCCCGTGGCGCCCTCGCGATTGGCCGCCAACGGCAAAGGGCCACTGCGGCATTCTAAAGCCGGCACTGCAAGAGGGGCTAGGCCACGCCGCGCTGCTTGCCGTGCTTTATTTTTTTCGTTTTTTGGTTGTCGCGTGAAAGCAAGAGGACGAAGCGCAAGACGCCACCGGCCGCCCCTTCCTGAAAAAAAGCCGGCAGCGTCAAAACTGCGCGCTCAGGACACCCACGAGAACACCGGCGAACTCCCAGCACGATCTCGGCGGTCGGTGAGTCGGAGAACCCCCCCACCGGCGCCGACAACGCCCGGCTTGCTTGGAGCGAGGGTCCACCGGCTTGCCAACTCTCCCCTCCCCGACCCGCTTTTTTCTGGTTTCCCCCGCCCTCTTCGCACGCCGGCCGATACCGGGTGCGGCTGACTGCGAAGACGCACACTGACCACCGCTTGGGCATAGACGCTCGATTTCATTCACTTTCGAGAAGTGCATTGTGTTGAGAGCGGCTTCTGTAGATGCCACGCTGCGTTGCCACACCGGTTCTCGTGTGCCGGTCTTCGGCGAGCAGCTGTCACGGTGTTTTGGCGCTCACCCAAGCGCCTTTCCGGAATTTCGGGTCGCCGATCAGTGAGGGCTAATTGGGCGGCTCGAAGCAGTGCCCAAATTTGTGGTCTTCCCTAGTGATCGCAGTGTGAGGCTTTTGTAAGCCGTCGAACGGCTGTGTTGGTGTCTTTGTCATTATTGTTGCTGGCCATGGCAACAGACAGGTAAGATAACCGATTACCGTTATCCGATCGCCTTCGCTCGTCCTTATTATCAGGTTGTTCATTTCTACCGGTCTTTGTTAGAGGACAGACAGGCTTGAATGACGACTTGAATGAATTTTTTTGCTTGTCAGCAACATCTCTTCAGCGCAGTACAAGTTTTAGGCATCGACTTCTTTTCGTTTCTTTCTATTTTCATGGATATAGCACTTCTTCAAATTTATGTACGTATTCTTGGTTGTTCGAATGGCAATGATGTTTAAGGACTCATTGCCATAGCGTAGAGTTTCAAATCAAGTAAATAAATTAGTGCTTCCTCCGGCGACAAAACTCATGTTAGCTCTGCAGCGTACTGCACCTTTCTTAAAATGTTTGTATTCTTAAATGTTGAATTTGATGCGCCGACATTGTCATCAATAGCTTGTTTCTTTTTATGAAGTAAATCAGAAAAACGGCTATTTATACGAGAGATGAAAGCGGATTCTTAAAATAGCAATAGAAACCTGATGGCGAAAATTCGTGGCGTGGAGTGTCTACAATGCTCAAAGCACAAAAATTATTTCCTAGTATGTATGTATGTGGGACACATTTTGAGTGAGTATACTTCTATTAACAGTTCCATGATTAGGTGTGAAATGGACAAAGTGCGCTCACTCAGACGAGGCATCGGTGATTTTGTAAACAACAAAGCAATATCGAGTAGCATCGTGCTATTTACAAAGACTACGGCTGAGCGCAACATTTCATCTATAGGTTCTTTATTTGCAACGTATTCAACTGAGGGTGCATGCAACTTCAACTTTACCCAGTGGTATCATAACTGGGTTTTCAAACAACATAGCTCTAAATTGGTGTCTGCTTGTCCCCAATTCCAAGGGAGTCAAGATGTCCTGGATAAACTGCTGAAATAAACATTCATAAAAGTCTTCTAGAATGTTATTAATCTTGATTAGCTCACATTTCTGCGTGATTGGCACACAAACATTCCATTCTCATTACCTCTTTAGTACTGAATTTTGTTAGTTGCAAAACGTGTGCATGAAAGCGCAGCTGAGGCTATAAAAATAGCCAAATTGTTGTTATCAGGAAATTAAAACCCACCAGCATGCAGAGTTTGAAGGTGTAAGTAGAACTTCATCAATAGCTCTTTGAATCAATCACAAGCGGTTCCAACTTTCTAGGTTGTTGTGTGCTTCGCTCTGCATAATGAAAGATGAAGTGTCATTATGAAAGCGTGATGTGCGTCAGCTACAATAAAAGTGCTGACCAGCGAAGCACTGATCGATAGACAATGCGGTCTCATACCCCTATTGCAAATTGTTTTATGTACACGGATTCACTGTTATTTTCCGGTGCTCCTCAAACCGTGACCCTGTAACAGCATGAAGGCCGCTCTCAAAAAGCGCTGCCAAGCGGCGGTCGGTGAAGCGTGTCGCTTTGCTTTTGCTCTTCAATCTGCATCACGCGCATTACGCTAATTGGTAGCCTGGTATGACTTATTTCCTCGACTCCGCGCTTTTGCGCATTAACAAAGAAGCCGTTTAACATGTCTGCTATTTTATGTCATCATACTAGCCTTGTTCGCCAAAAGCGATACCTGCATGCTTTTCATTGTGAATCCAAAGTGTGCCTGCGTGTACGTGATGTGAATGTATACGAACACTGTTTCATGGAAATGGAAGAAAGTGGCACAGACTTCTGCTATTTGCTAATGATGTTATAGAAAATAATGCGGTATCGGTGTGATTAATTCATGTTCACGAACGAACGGAGTATGTTGATCACAAAAAGACCCTTTTTTCCTGTCATGAAGTTCCTATTTATCTCACTTTGGTAGCTATTACGCGCAATATTTATTCAACTCTACCAAATGCAGTAGAAGCTAAGTCGACACTTTAGAATCTGAGACGTGTCGTACTTAACTTTTAGCGAAAGTTTTATACTGCCATAAAGAAAAACAAGTTTACAGTAGAAATGCACTTCTCTACAACATAAACAGAACTTTTTTTTTTTGCGACAAAGCAATAGCACCGTGTTTATTCGGATATTTCAGTTGTATTTTCTCCCTGTTTCTTCAAATTCCGGAGCTTGTTTGTTTTTTTTCACTAACGTATTGTTAGCTGCAGAAAACAACGGGTGTTTCACATTCCTCTGAATTATTTTTGAAAACGTGAGTGGTGCAGCAGGGTTCCTGCATATAAAATGAACTAACAAAATCAAGCGGGCTTCCTACTTATACATCGAATGTCCCTGGTCTGGCACCTCATCTCAATGCTCAATATTGAAGTACTAACGAACATGTGTATATCTTGTGTACTTGTCTTACAATATGATGTATTGTTGCTTCAGTTTTAAACATCACTAAAGCACTGCGCGTGTACAACGCACAAGCTCGTTCTGTTTCAAGTAATATTTTCGTAGCAATACGTGCTTCTGAAGGTCACGTTCATGCATTCAAGACACAAATAATATGAGAAAGCAATGTTCACACTAATTTCTAATTTATGGGACCTCTATCAATTTTTGTCGGAGATATTAAACTGAATCACGGCCAACCATAAAGGGCTATGCGACCGAGGTTTCAAAGGAAAAAAAAGTGACCTTCACCAATAATCACACCCATCATTGCACAATGCCGTATCCGGGCCTGCATTTATACGTGCGACAATTTTATGTTTGGTCAGCCAAGCATATTTTTCAATTCTGCTGTTTTGGAACAGTGAATGCGCTGCTCTATTGCTGACTCAAAGGTGACGGGCTCGGTATCGGCCGTGGCGGTCACATTTCGATGGGGACAAAGTGATCGAGGCCCGCGTACTAGGCAAATTCAGTGCATGTTAAATGACACCAGATGGTCGAAATTTCGACAAACATTCGCTAAGGCGTGACTCGTAATCTTATGCCGGTTCTGGCATGCCAAATCTCTCACATTATTATCAGCTGCTTCTTGAAGTGCATACATTTCTCTTTCGCTTAGCGAATGCTTGAAAGACTAGTGCTTGGGTGGCTTGTTTCGCATTGACACCATGCAGGCAAATGTATTTGTGCATGGACGGAATTAGGCGTGACCAGCGCATATCGATCGCCCCTTCGTTCGTGTAGCGGGCAGCACTTTGGCGCGGCCCGTTCCGAGCGGCCGCTCAGTGTTTCCGGCGCCAACTCGGGAGTCACGGCGACGACATATAAAAGTCACTTCGTCTGCGACCGAGAATTTGTGTAGGACGACGCCGACAGTGCACATTGCTTCGACCACTGCGCTCTCTGAAGCGGATCTAAATTGGGGTCGGGTCGATCGCATGACGTCGGCGATGAAGTAACGACTGCCACTGCAACCGCCTTTGCCCCTCCATCACGCACGTAATATTGTGAAGCGTGAGCGACGGGAAAGCACACGGACATATATAAAACTTGAAGGCCGAGCCTTCATTTGATACGTGGGCAGTCATTATGCGCACTTCAATGTAGCATAACATTTTGTTCTCGCCAACCTTCATACTTCTCGTTTTAGAAGCGTTAAGCTTCTAAAGTTTCCATTATTCACGCATATGCGTCGTTGGCAGGATTTAGATTTGGTGGGTGCAAACCTATGTAGCGTGGTGGTCGGTGAAAAGGGGAGGGGGGCACTAGTGTGGTATTCTGTGAAAGAAAAAATGTTGGTTTGTTTTGTGAGGAGTGGAAAAGCAAGGGCCTTTTTTTGGACCCCCCTACCGATGCCCAAGTAATCAGCAGTCATCCTTACCAAGTAGCATAAATTCTATATACTGTCATGCGCTACTGTACGATGTAAGTGCACGTCAAAGAACACCACATCATCAAAATTTCCGGAGCCTTCTACTAAGGCATCTCGCATAACTATATAGTGGTTTGGGAACGTAAAACTCCTTGTATTATATTACTCTCCTCTATCGTGGTGGCTTAGGAGGTGAGGTGTCGTGATGCTAAGCTCGGTTCACTTGTTCGAACCTTGACCACGACGACGACACTTCGATGTGAAGAAATGCAAGAACACCACGCTCTTAGATTTTAGAGCGCAATAGGGAATTCCGGGTAGTCAGAAATAATACGGAGCGCCTCATTGCGGCGTGCTTCCTATTCATTTCCTGTTTTTTGAGTGCGATACTCCAAAATTTTTATTATTCGATAGTTGCCCGTGACTGCATTCAACAACGGTGGCACTACTTGATGAAATGTTCGACGTACGGCGACCACATCGAAGTGCTCATCACGTCCTCGTTGATATTGCATATTACCTTGCATGCTTCAATGACAAACTGTGTGCTCAAAACCATACTCTCGGATAAAGCGTTACTCTTTCGTCTGTCTGTTCTCTTTCTTTTCATCCTTAATACATTTCTCACAGTGCAGAGAAGCAAACCAGGCGCACTTCCTGTCGATCCCTTTGCTTTGTTTTATCCTAGTTCTCAAGGCGAGCGCGAGCGCTTTTGATGCGCTTCCTCTGTCATCGCCGGAACCACTCACGAGAGTTCCCGTTGGCCCTGATCCTCGTTC